GACCCTCGAGGGAAATTGCCAGGGACCTAATTGATCCTCGTCTATTTAAGTCAGCAACACTTTGTGGCAATCTATATATGTTTTTGTGATACCTTTTTTTGTGTCTGTGTGTAGGGGCTGATTCCAGCACTGCAAGAGGTGATGCCTGGTGCATATCATCGTTTTTGTGTGCAGCATGTTTGGAAGAATTTCATAAAGCAATGGAAAGACAAGGCAATTCGAGCCATGGTTTGGGAGTGTTCAAGATGCACCACTGTCCCCCAGTTCCAGCAATGCATGGCACGGTTGAAAGTAAAGAATGAGGCTGCATGGAAGTACTTGGATGGCATCCAGCCCTCAAGTTGGGTGAAAGCTTATTTCAACCACTGGCTGAAATGTGATAATATCACAAACAACATGGCAAAGGTATGGAATGCCAAGATCGTTGGATATAGGTCAAAACTGATTATCACTCTATTGGAGGAACTGAGATGCTACATTATGAGGAGGATGGCTGCACATCAGAGGGTGTTATGAACTGTTCGGGGTAAAATAGCTCCTGCTCAGCAATTGAAACTGGATCAGTTAAAGGTTCTTAGCAATTCGTGGACCCCCACTTGGACTGGAAATCTGCAGCAAGATATGTATGAGGTCAGTGGGAAAGGTGATAGAGTTGGAGTCAATTTAACAACACATACATGTGCATGCAATGTATGGCAGTTGACTGGACTGCCTTGTGAGCATGCTATAACAGCAATTTGTCACAAAAATGAGCCAGCCGAGAACTATGTCCATTAATGGCTTACAGTTGATGCATTGCATGCCACATATGAGCACACCTTAAACCCAGTGAACTCAGACAAGTATTGGCCTGCATCTGATGAACCCAAACCTCTTCCACCAAAACTGAAAAGGCCAATTGGGCGACCCAAGAAACACAGGAAGAAAGACCCAACTGAAGACCAAGGGAGCATGACAAAGAAAGTTAAAAGGACATATGAAGCCAAGTGTAGTAAGTGTGGTCAGATTGGACACTATGACAAGAGTTGTAAGGGGCCACCAGCTTCCAAAACAAACAAGAGCCAAGCAAGACCCCAATCTGTGAGGATTAGCACAGACTCAGTAAATGAAATCTCATTAAGTCAAGGAGGCCCGTCAGAAATTGGTAGTTCTCAGGCACAACAAGTCAACTTGAAAGGATGCAGCCCACCTCCTTCAAATCCAGAAGAAGCAAATGCAGTGTTGACTGAAGAGACAATGAAGGCAGCCAGCACTGGCACACGAAGCAGATTTATGCACTTCATGACAACACCTGGTTTCATGCCACCAAGGCGATCCTCAAGAAAATGAGCTGCTGATGAAGAAGAACAAGGGAGTAGTGCATGAGCCACCAAGGCCCTTTTTTTGTACATTCTGGCCATATTTTTGGAGGCCTTTTACAGATATAATGTAATCATTTAGACGCATGGTCAAGATTGTATTTATAGGCCTCACTTGGAATTTCTATCAGTTGGCTTTTATTTGTAATGCACTTCTGGTTTCTAGTTCTAGGAAGACAATTATGTGTAACTGGTTATATTCTGGACATGCATGTTATGTGGCAGGGTTGATGAATGTGATAATTTCATGTCCATTTTATGTTTTTATCATTTAGCTGCCATATTTTCTGGTTACTGGTTTGTGCACGTTTGTGCTGTCCATATTTTCTGGTTACTGGTTGATGAATGTTGCAGGTTGCCCAAGATTGCAGCTATTATGTGGCAGGGTTGATGCATGTCATAAGTTCATGTCCATTTTATGTTTTTTAACTGAGTTAGCTTGTTGTTGGTCATTTAGCTGCCATATTTGCATTCTGGTGAAGGTTTGTGCTGTGTTATTGATGAAACAGATCATGTCCAATTTTCTGGATGCAGGGACCAATTAGGACCCCGACAATCATTGTCAGGGACCAATTTGGACCCCTACATACTGCATTTCTGATGTCATGCACTTCTATTTTGTTGATCTGGATTGCATTCAAAAGCATATAAGTCAGGGACAGCAAGTGTATATGATGTAATGCACTACTGTTTTTTTAAAATGAGTGCTGCATTTTGTTGATTTGGACATCAACAACTCATGTCCTATAATTCTGGAATCAGGGACCAATAAGTGCCCCGTGTACTTTGTCAGGGACGAAAACGACCCTCGAGTAACATTGCCAGGGACCTAAATGGTCCTCGTGTTTTGCAATCAGTAACAAAATATGCATAACAGTATGCAACTTCTGTATCAGCAATGTCATGAGTTATGTGTCTAAATCAGTAGCAATCTATATCTGTTTGTGATACAATGTAGCAATCTTTTATCCTTCAATCGATGCCTAACTATGCAATAGTCCATACTAAAAGAAGCTTAGCATCCAATACAACATTTGACCAAGGCACAAATATATAATGCCATAATATATTAAGGAATACATTCAAGGCTTATAATAGGCCATATGATAATACACACAAACATATTTGAACTAACACATAATTTGTATAACAACAGGAAAGAGTACTCATTACAATTCACTGAAGGAAAAATACATTTGGGTCACTTGTTTTCACTTTTACTACACTAACAACAAACATACAAATCATGATCACACCAACACAAGCACCTAAGACCCTAGCTGACCTATCAACTGTCCTAATTTTTTTGTCCATCCTATCTAACTCCTCCACCATCTTCAGGTATACATCATTCAGTTTTCTTTCCTGCTGATGAAGCTTCATTCCTTGCTCAGTAATCTTCACATCTTGCTCTCTCATCATCATCTCCACATACTTCAACTTGAAGTTCATTTCAGCAACATCCAACTCCACAGTGTGAATTCTTGCTTCTTCCAGTTCCATGGGTTCATTACACATGTCATCTACCCATCTAAAAAAATCACAATAGGGCTTCTTCTCCTAAAAAAAATAAACACCATGGTTAGCAAGTTTTCCAACTCAATAAAGGGGCAGATTACAAATTCGTACCTTGAAGTTAGGACACCCAAGGAAAGCCCTGTTTGGGTTCCTCTCAGTTTTGGAGGTATAGACAATACTTTGTCTCCCACATTTGCACCTCCAACCAGTGGTCCTTGCCATTGTTCTTCCCCCCATTGATTTACTCCCACTTGACCCCCCCCATGCCAGAAGAAACACTCATCTTCTCCCACGCCCAGAAATTCGGTTGATGGCTTAATGTCTTTCGTCGAGTTTCAATCATCAAAGTGCAAACATTCTGGGGGCGTTTTGCTGTTTACAGATTTGCTCATCAATTTGGGGGATGGAGTTTCCGGTTTAGGGTTCGAATGAAGGCATTTGGGTTTTTTTCAATTTTAGGGTTCATTATTTGGGTTTTATCAATTAATTGGATTCAAGTAAAACGACGTCGTGCTTTCCATGGGTGTCCACCGTCGTCGTCCAGCTTTCCACCGTGTCCACCGTGGAGTCCGCGTCAGCAGATAACGTGCCACATGGGCACCGTTAGTTTGACCGTGACAGAGGAGTTGACAGAAGGACTAACGTGGCGCTTTTTTCATAACTTTAGGGACCAATTTGGTACTTTTATATTGTCAGGGACTAAAATGGATTTCACTAATATTGCTAGGGACCAAAAAGGGTGTTTACTCTAATTTTTATATCATGAGATAAAATGACTAGAAAATCCTTATAATTTTGCGGGTCAACAGGTTTGCGGGTTAACCTGTAACCCGACACGAATTTTTTCGTGTTATTTTTCTTCAACCTGGACACGACCCATTTAATAAATGGGTTGACCCGAACACGGAAATTTCGTGTCGGGTCCGGGTCGGGTTGATGGGTCGTGTCATAAATTGCCACCCCTAGTTTTAGTTATGGGGTTTTGCCTTGGTGGTGAGTTTTGGGGACTTGAAAATTTTGTAAAATTACTCCACATCAGTGTTAATAAATCGGATCAACCCGAAAATCGGTAAATCGGTCATATAATCGGTCCAGTTGAAACAACGAACCAGCCATGCATCAGAACCGGTGTGAACCGATCCGACCCGGCCGGTTTTCATAAAAATCGCTTACCCGGCCCGGTCCCAAAAAAAAATTCCAATTTTTTTTCAAAAAAAAACATAATGGACATATTTGAATATTTATTTATTTATTAACTTACATAAGTTATGTACCTACAACATTAATATTATCTCAATTATGCACTATGCAGAAAATTTTGATTTGATATATAGTTAGAGATTTCATTTTCTGGACCTAAAGCCTCGTATCACAATCATTATATTTTTATTTGATTCTTTATGGATAATAAAATGTTTTTTATTATTTTTTATATTAAAGTTTTTGAAATTTTTATTATTTTTTTTGGAGATTTGAGTATGTTTATAATTTTTTAATATAAATTTTAAAATTGCATATAATAATTGAGTCATGCGATTAAACTAGTGACTCAGTATCCCGACCGGATCAATGAGCGGGCCGATTTTAATAACATGGCTCCATATTTCTAGCAATAATTGACCATCAATTAAATATAAAATCAGTAATTTTGAACTAATATTTTGATTTAACAAATATCTTTTTAATTCATTACAAAAAAATATCTTTTTAATAATATTCCCAAAAAATTTACTTTTCCATCATGTTTTTGAAAATAATAATTTTCGAGAAAAAAAATTTCTTCCTTATTAAACTCAAAAATAGACTAATCAAACATTATAATATAAAATAATAATCGGAAATATGCAATTACAGTTTACACCAAAATCAAGAGGTACGTCAGCGACAAAAAAGCATGGTCGGTGCATTTCATCCTTATCTTCATCTCCACACCCAACACAATCCTCCTCGTTTTAAAAAAGGTTTCATTTATTTATTATTTCAATTATTTTTTTTTTAAATTTATAAAACAAAATTCTAATTTTTAATTTTTCTACAAATACTAAACTTGGTTTGCGGAAAAGCTAAGTAACCATATAATAAACATCTTCTTTTCTCTCTCTTCAAATCTTCTCAATCTTTCAGTGAGTTGTTCTCTGTGCATCTTCTAGCTCCATCAATGGCGTCTGGATCGTCCGGTCGCGGTAACTCCGTCTCCAAAGGGTTCGATTTCGGTTCCGATGACATCCTCTGCTCCTACGATGACTTCGCCAACAGGGATTCGAATTCCAATGGCAATCACACCGATCCCGTTATGGCCCCCAATTCAACTAAGGTATATATACCCATGTACCCTATGTGTTGTTTCGGGCGTTGACTCGCAGTTTTTTAGCCTTTGAGGGCAATTTCCGAACATGGGTCTCACACTCCGGGAGGAAAAGCAATTAGGGTTTAGGAAATTTAAATTTTTTTAGAAAAGAAAGTAAAAACATTGATGATGGAGGAAAACTATTGTTGTGTTTGTTGCAATTTTTCCCTTCTTTCCTGATCCTGATCGTCGCTTTGGTTGTAATTCATCAAGTTTTGGGGTTACTGAATATATTGTTGTTAGTTGATATTGAAGAAATTGGAGTGAATTTGGATGTTTTATTCTCCTGTAATAACATCTGAGGGCGTGAGTGCAATATTGTTTTTGAAGGTTTTATATCAAGTAAACGTTTTGGGATGAATGAATATAAAGATGTTTTCTTTTTTTGTTGTTGAATCGATGGTCTTTCCGATTGGTTAGTTACTTTGACTTATTGGTGAAGTTAGTTTGACTTATTGGTGCAACAAAAATATGATTTACATCTTGTGTGTGGTATGTTGATGGCCTTAAGGTCTTATTTTTTTTTTTTTTTGGAGTAGCTTTAAGAGATGCGGATTCTGGTGTGGTATGCTTGAGCTGTTTAACAATAGAGAGCAAAGAAACATATCAACTGGCTGAGAAGAAAATAGATTACGTGCTTTTAATTTTATAGTATTCATTTGTATCCCGAGTTTGGAAGTGTTGGGTTTTTTGTCTCTATTTGAGAACGTTGGAAGCAAGATGAATGTGTTCAACCTGGTTAATAATTTTGACAGTAGATAGAATCAATGAGGAATTGTGTCCAAGTGTGCCAGGTACAAATGTTTTGAGGGATCAGGTACTGTGATACTTCTCATTTGAGCAGTCAGGTGCCTTATGAATATGATTGGCTGTATGTTTATTATATAATTAATCAATTGTTACATGCAAAACTAGAAAACGTAATATGTTATTGGCGTACTTTGGTTTGGATATATGAAGATGAGTGTAAGTAATTGGTCCACTCCACAAAACTTCATCTTTTGAAGCAAGGTAACTGTGAAAATTAGAGTAAAAACCATAAAGTTTAGGAGGAAGGAGACTCATAATCACATACATATTTTTTAAAGCAGGTGTTCTCCTGTAGAGAGGATTTGACTGTTATTATTTGTTTTCCGTGAGAAAAGAAGTGAAATTGGCCCATTATCTCTAAGTGCTTATTGTGGGTAATTAGGTTTTTTATTTACTTAGAACAGTTATGCTTGCTTTATTCTGAGTTTTCTTGACCATTCTCAAGCTTATTGCTTCTTATATGCATGTATATACTTATAACCATCATGAGTTTCATGTCCCTTTGCACACCTCTAGTAAATTTTTGAATCTCAAATCCGCAAAACTTTTGGCAGGATTTTAACAAATCAAGGATGGCAAGGACATGTATGTTTCCTGCTTCTGCCTATAATCCGCCTGAAGATTCTTTAAGCCAAGATGTGATTGCAACTGTAGAGAAGAGTATGAAAAAATATGCTGACAACCTCATGCGATTTCTTGAGGGAATTAGTTCAAGGCTATCGCAGTTGGAATTATATTGCTACAATCTTGACAAATCTATTGGAGAAATGAGATCTGATTTAAATCGTGATCATGGGGAGCAAGATTCAAAGCTCAAATCTCTTGAAAAGCACATTCAGGAAGTAAGTTGCAACTTGAATTGATAATATATATAAATGCAAATTAGCGTTCAAGTTATATACTTTATGGTGTCCCTCGTTTTGATGTGCTTGATGAATTGCCGTAGGTTTAGGTTGCACAAATACAGGTATGCGTACCCATATTGATATGGAATATGGTAATTTTTTTATAAAAAGGGTATGGGAATTATAGATGTTAGACTATACTACAATTTTGGTCCTCCAAAGATTTGTGATATCAAATTAGTCTTTCAAAGATTTAAATTGACATCAAGATTATCCAAATTGATGTCACACACAGCTTGACAGAAGGATGATTATGATGTCACTTTAAATCTTTGGAGGACTAATTTGATGTCACAAACTTTTGGAAGACTTATTTGATTCAAAGGTATTTTTAGAAGACCAAAATGTTAGTTTACTCTTACTATTATTACAAGGCCTGTTGCCCTTTGCTGTTATTGAATTCCTGTTGTGAAAACTTAAACCCAGATAAGTTTTTGCAGTTTTGGCCTTGGCAGTAAGATGAGCCAATAGCTTTGGGCTCTCATCAAGATGTAGAGGACTCTGGAGAGTTACCATCTTGCCTACCTTCATTCTCATCCTCTCTTATCCTAAGGGGCTATCATTAATGTAACCCATGCACCAAAATCTCACAAGAAATTCACAATAATCATTATTGATAATTTGTAAAAGAGAGATACCAAATGTAACACCCAAAGTGCCATTCATAAGCTGTTGTTGACCTGTTGTCGAATAGTCAAATAAAGGGTAAACACCGGTGCAAAAGACTCTCCGATTTGCGATAGTCAAATAGTCAAATGCCAAAGCTAAAATAAAATAGATTGTCTCAAGGTAAGTTGAAATTCCTATCTTATCATCAATAAAAATAACAAATTATCAAATAAGAATGTTTATCCATGCGTCATGCACTGTCCAACAACACACACAGCTTATGGTAGCAAGGATGCTGGAATTTTTTTTTTTGTCCTGATCCTTCTTCCTCTTCCCTTCCCCTGTCCAGTCTCTCGTTATCTGCCTGATTGAAGTGTTCATTAGACCCTTTTATAATCATCCACACAACAAACAATTGAGATGAACCACTAGCTCATGAACTAGCAGCAATGTCAGTCATGCGGACAAGAACCAGGATCTGTAATTGCTGAGAAGCATGAAGTTAAACTTGATCAAGGCTTATATACCTTTAATGCAGTGTTGCTAGATAAAGAATCCTTTAATGCTAGAAAAATCTGTATTTTCTTGATGATTGTTCCAACCTCATTTTTTCTGATGTTTCTTATGTAGGTTCACAGGTCTGTACAAATTTTAAGAGACAAGCAAGAGCTAGCTGAGACTCAGAAAGAATTAGCCAAGCTTCAACTTGCTCAGAAAGAGTCATCTTCCTCAAGCCATCCTCAGTCTAATGAGGAGAGATCTTCTCCTTCTATCACGGATTCCAAAAAAACTGATAATGCATCGGATGCACACAACCAGCAGTTAGCTCTTGCTCTGCCCCATCAAATTGCCCCTCAGCAGCAGCCTGCGGCACCCCAGACCCAAACTCCTGCACCAAATGTGACTCAAGCTACTCAACAACCTCCTTATTACATGCCTCCCCCTCCACAAGCTGTGGCCCAGCTCTCCCAGAATCAGTATTTACCTTCTGATCAACAATATCGAGCACCCCAACTACAGCAACCAACACCATCTCAAGTAACCCCGTCCCCACCTGCGCAGCAATATTCTCAGTATCAGCAGCCACAGCAACAACTGCCGCAGCCGCCGCAGCAGCAGCAATGGCCGCAGCAGGTGCAACCTCCACAACAACCCTCAATGCAACCTCAAATGAGACCCCCCTCATCAAGTGTGTATCCTCCATACCAGCCAAGTCAAGCAACAAATCAATCTCCCACAGAAACACTGCCAAACAGCATGCCCATGCAAATGGCATATTCAGGGGTTCCTCCACCTGGGTCTAGCCGTGCTGATACCATACCATATGGATATGGAGGAGCTGGTAGAACAGTTCCACAGCAATCCCCACCCCAGCAACAGATCAAGGGGTCTTATACTGCACAAGGAGGTGACATGTATGGAACTTCCGGGACCCACCCGGCGCTGCCTCCTCCTCCTCCTGGTAGTGCATACATGATGTATGATGGTGAAGGAGGAAGAACACATCTTCCACCACCCCAACCTCATTTTGCTCAAGGTGGATATCCTCCAACAAGTGCTTCCCTTCAGAACCCCACAGGTCATAATCTTATGGTAAGAAATCCTAGCCAGTCACAATTTGCTCGCAACCATCCATACAATGAGTTGATTGAGAAATTGGCGAGCATGGGATTCAGGGGTGAACATGTGGCAAGTGTGATCCAGAGGATGGAGGAGAGTGGACAGCCTATAGATTTCAACTCTGTACTTGACAGGTTGAATGTGCATGGCTCTGTGGGTCCCCAAAGAGGATGGTCAGGGTAAAAAAAACTTGTCTGGAACGCTCTGTTTGAGCAGAACTTTGTTCACCAACTGAATGCTACGCTTAAATCATTGCGTGTTTTAGTATGCATGGAATAAAAGTTTTATGTAATTGGCACGGTTTATCTTCGTATGTAAATGTCTTGAGATGTGAGGATCATCTAGTATTTTTACAGAAAATCCTTCACTTGTTTATTTTTTATTTACATTTTAAAGAAATGCATGGAACTTCTTAATTATTTACAATCCACCGCTTTTGTTTTAAAAACATTTGCGTGTTGGTGTCCGACATTGACACGTTCTGATATGCGGTCAATATTTTAGTATACGCGGTCAATGTTTTGACTTATGTTTTTGTCAATTTTTTTTGACATGCGGTTAATGTTTCGACATGCATCCGATATATTTTTTTTAGGTCTAAATTTTATTTTATTAACTAAAAATAAAAAAAATTATAAGTTAATTTTATTCTATTATAAAATTTGACATAAAAAATTAGCAAGTTATGAAAAATAAGTTTTTCTTTATATCTATATTATGGAATTTGAATATTTGATTGGTTATATGATTTATTGTGAATTATTTAATACATATATTAAAAATATTATTTAATATCAAAACGTGTCATAACATATAAAAATATGATATTTTTTAGAATTAATGTGTCAGGGTGTCGTGTGTATCGTGTTCCGTATTGGTGTCGGTACAACACAGGATGTAAGCGCAAATAATTTTAAAGAGAATTTTTACTTTATCTCTTATCTATTTTTATAAAATATAACGCTTATAAAAAATTTATAACTAATATGAATTTCTTCTATTTTAAGATTTTGTAATCGTTCACTTTTAAGGAGAAACGGGAGCAAATCTAGGACGAGTTTCAATAATTGGAGACCAAACAATGACCTGGGATATTATTTGATTCTTAATTGTGATTGATGCGAATCTAGTCTTTTAAATTAAAATTTTCCTCCCTCTGTATATATGATTATGAATTTATGATTAATTGATGTTGAGTATTAAGACTTTGTACATTTTTATTAATTATTTTATAATACGATGATATATGGGTTTAAGACGAGAGGAATTAGCCCAAAAAAAGAAAAAAGGAAAACCACTAAGATTTAGATACATACAAAGCAGGTTTGGATGCCAATAAGTCAACTTAAAATTCATTGGATGCGGAAAGAGTCAAAAGTGAGGGATAAAGGCAAGAGGGGTGGTGATGTTAGGGAATATGTCAAATGTCACAGCTGGAAGCTTGCAATGGAATAAAGGACTTGTTTGGTTTGGCTAAACGATAGAAAATCATTAATTAGAAGCTTCCTTGTTTTGTACCCCATTGGTTGATAATTTCTAAGGAGTTAACCTAACCCATTGGGCAGACAGAAAGTAAAAGTGCATGTGCACAGCTAAGATAAAACTAAAAGCCTCTGCCTCAGTGCCATTTGGAGACTAAGCATATAGCGCGATGAATCATGAATTGCAGGCGTTGCTCTTAATATAATAATATTATCATCATCATCATAATACGATATGGGCACAATTTCTTTTAAAGGAAAAAAAAATGCAATAAAGGTAGATGTTATCTCGTTATAATCGAAGATCAGACATACATTAATACATATCACATTTAATTTTTCTTTTGATGAAAGGATGTACAAATACATTTAATTATAGAAATGTATCTTATTTAATTTTTGAATTTCCATCTAATTATTTATGAAATGTCCATCTATTTTAATTAAGAAAAATATATTTCTTATATTGCTTCATATAATTTTATCTCATATAATATATAAAAAATAAATGAAATCTATTTTTTTTTCTTTTTTACTGAATGAATCTTATTTTTTTTTATATTGTACGAAATAAATTATATGACGCAAGATGATTCTACGTTGATTAATTTCCATGTACAATAAATTATTTCTTAACCATTAAGACTAGAAGAAGACTAGGTCTGCTCCAAGGGAAAGTCACGTACGGGATCCACAGCTTTGATATGGTCCACTTCAGTGGACCCCACCTCGTCTTTGGACAAGTTGGCAACTACACAATCCACGGCGTCGCATCACTCGCATAAAAACCGCCGTGTTCATTTCAAAATCCATGTCCTTGTTAGTATTCAATTTTCCCCTATCATTCTTATATTATTGCTTCTATTTTGAAACCAACCAAGCGCGTAGCGTGCCCCTTCGTTTTTTCTCTTTTTTTGGATACACGCCCCTTTGTTTTTTTGCTATTGCTATCCACAGTCTTGAAATTCTTCGAATCTATGATCGCGTTCACAGTGTAGTGTGTGAATTTTACTAGTTCTCCAATATAACTATCCTCTATGATAAAGTTAATTATTACTTAATATTATAAAGGAGATATGGCCGTATATTACTTAAAGAAAGAGCCTCAAAGTGCCATTGCGAGTGGGGAACCTTGAAATCAGGGAAAGTAAACAAACTTTAATTGTTCTTTATCATTGATTGAGATTCCAACCTTTTTCTTTATCATATATTTACCATACCCAGCAAAATCTCACAAAAAGGAAATAAAACTACTTCATAGCCCTTTCTCAAAATCATAATATATTGTTTCCTTTTCCCCCCTTTCTTTGGTTATTTTTAATACATGCATTCACATTTTTAGTTTAGTTAACATATTTAGGCCTTAATTTTAATTTAAAATATACAAATAAATGTTTGAAAATAAACTAAATTATTTCTTTGAATTATAAATTATGACATGATGGTATTGTGGTTCAATTTCTAATTCAATCTTTTAAAGTATCGTGCAGCTGAACAGCTTAACCTACAATTATATAAGAGTCCCAATTCTGCAAAACTCACCATTTTTCTGCAACGTCACAACTAAGTAAAACTATAGATAGATAGATAGAGATAGAGTAATGATCTGCTAATTGGTTGATGGAAACAAATTCATTAGGGCTGCCATGACGAGGAAGCCTTGGATCTTCGTTGCTATCGTCCATGAACTATGCCTGTCACAGTTTTTTTCATTTATATAAAAACGCTACTCTGGATGTTTACCCGGGTACAACCCTTCTTACCCGGGTAACTAATTCAACCATTTTTCCAGATTCAAGAACTCTACCCGGGTACACTCCTCTCTATCCGGGTAGATACAAAATTTCAAAAAATACCAGGGTAGGGAGGGGTGTACCCGGGTAGGCTTCATGGTCAATGGTCAAACAGGGACAGATTGGTGTTATGTTTTCTGAAGGGGTTAAATTTTCGAATTAGTTTCAAATGAAGGTCAAATTGATAATTAATTATTAATTAAAGGTTATAAGGGTAAAAAAGCCATTACATATACCTCGAAAAGAAATACGGAAGACGACAAAGTAAAAACGTTGAATAAACATATGATTAGATTTTTTGGTATAATCCATTAAAAATAATTACAAAATTAGTCTCAACGCGCTTACGCGCTCTTTCTTCTTCCGGTGTCTTTCAGCAGGTACCCACCACGTTAGTCACCTCTTTCATACTCTCTCTCTCTAGCTTTTGTTCTGTTTTTTGCTTTCTCTCTCTGTAACCGTCACCACTCTCACTCGCAGCACCTTGTTCAACTTAAGCGACTACAGTTACAGCGTTTTAGGGATCAGATTCAGATGCTATGAGCCTTCACCCCCGTCACTCTCGGCCGGTGGCCACCGCTCCTCCTGAGGAGGACGAGCCCTACAACATCATCCCAGTCCACAACCTCCTCGTGGACCACCCCTCCCTCCGCTTCCCGGAGGTCCGCGCCGCCGTCGCGGCCATCAAAGCCGTCGGAGACCTCCGGCGTCCGCCATTCGCGCAATGGCTCCCTCACTTTGACCTCCTCGATTGGCTCGCCCTCTTCTTCGGGTTCCAGAAAGATAATGTCCGCAACCAGCGTGAGCACCTTGTCCTCCACCTCGCCAACGCTCAGATGCGCCTTACTCCGCCGCCGGACAACATTGACACACTCGATGCCACCGTCCTCCGCCGCTTTCGCAAAAAGCTCCTCAAGAACTACACCTCCTGGTGCTCCTACCTTGGCAAGAAGTCCAACATCTGGATCTCCGATCGCCAGCGCGGCGGCGACCCCTCCGCCCAACGGCGAGAACTCCTCTATGTGTGCCTCTACCTCCTTATCTGGGGCGAGGCTGCAAATCTGCGGTTTGTACCGGAGTGCATCTGTTACATCTTCCATAACATGGCGAATGAACTGAACAGAATCTTGGAAGATTACATCGATGAGAACACGGGGCAGCCTGTGATGCCTTCGGTTTCTGGTGAGAATGCTTTCCTGAACTTTGTGGTGAAGCCTATCTATGAGACAATTAGACGTGAGGTGGATAGTAGTAGGAATGGGACTGCTCCTCATGCTGATTGGAGGAACTATGATGATATCAATGAGTATTTTTGGAGTAGGAGGTGTTTTGAGAAGCTCAAGTGGCCTATTGATATTGGGAGTAACTTCTTTGTGACGGGAAGTGGGGGGAAGCGTGTGGGTAAGACTGGGTTTGTTGAACAGAGGTCGTTTTGGAATCTGTTGAGGAGTTTTGATAGGCTTTGGGTGATGTTGATTTTGTTTCTTCAGGCTGCTATCATTGTGGCTTGGGAGGGGAGGACTTATCCTTGGCAAGCTTTGGAGGAAAGGACTGTGCAGGTCAGGGTTTTGACCATTTTCTTCACTTGGAGTGGTATGAGGTTTGTTCAATCTTTGCTTAATATAGGGATGCAATACAAATTGGTGTCAAGGGAGACAATGGGGCTTGGAGTAAGGATGGTGATGAAAAGTATTGTCTCTGCCGGGTGGATTGTTGTGTTTGGCATATTTTATGGGAGGATATGGACGCAGAGAAACCATGATAGACGGTGGTCGCCCGCAGCAGATAGGCGGGTGGTAAACTTTCTGGAGGTTGTGTGTGTTTTCATCATTCCGGAGCTTCTAGCCTTAGCCCTTTTCATAATTCCTTGGATTAGAAATTTTGTTGAGAACACAAATTGGAGGATTTTTTATATGTTATCATGGTGGTTCCAGAGCAGAAGTTTTGTTGGTCGGGGTTTGAGAGAAGGTCTTGTAGACAACATTAAGTATTCATTATTTTGGGTGGTGGTACTAGCCACAAAGTTTTGTTTTAGTTACTTTTTGCAGATCAAACCCATGATTGCTCCTACAAAGGCAGTGTTGGACCTTAAGAATGTTAATTATCAATGGCATGAGTTTTTGCATAACAGCAACCGGTTTGCTGTTGGGTTGCTGTGGCTTCCAGTTGTTTTGATTTATCTAATGGATATACAGATTTGGTATTCAATATATTCATCTTTTGTTGGGGCCGCTGTTGGGTTGTTTGCACACTTGGGTGAGATTCGAAATATACAACAGTTGAAATTGAGGTTCCAGTTTTTTGCTAGTGCAATTCAGTTTAATCTCATGCCAGAGGAGCAATTGTTGAATGCTAGAGGAACGTTGAAAAGCAAGTTTAAGGATGCCATCCACAGGTTGAAGCTTAGGTATGGGCTTGGTCGGCCCTATAAGAAGCTTGAGTCTAATCAAGTTGAGGCCAACAAGTTTGCTTTGATATGGAATGAGATTATTATGTGTTTTAGGGAGGAGGATATTATCTCTGACAAAGAGTTGGAGCTGTTGGAGCTGCCACAGAACTCTTGGAATGTTAGGGTTATCCGCTGGCCATGTTTTCTTCTCTGCAATGAGTTATTGCTGGCACTCAGTCAGGCCAAAGAACTAGTGGATGATACTGATAAGAGGCTTTGGAATAAGATATGCAATAATGAGTATAGACGCTGTGCTGTCATTGAAGCATATGATAGTGTCAAGCACTTACTTCTTGAGATTATCAGATCCAATAGTGAAGAGCATTCTATTGTGACTGTTCTGTTTCAGGAAATCGATCACTCTCTTGAGATTGAGAAATTCACTAAAACATTCAAAACAACAGAACTGCCTCAGCTCCACAGCAAGTTGATAAAACTTGTCGAGTTATTAAACAAGCCCATTAAGGATCTGAACCAAGTGGTGCATACCCTTCAGGCCCTTTATGAGATTGCTATCCGAGATTTTTTCAAGGAAAAAAGAAACCCTATTCAGCTAAAGGAGGATGGTTTGGCTCAACATAATCCTGCTTCTGGTCTACTGTTTGAGAATGCAATTCAGTTGCCTGACACCAACAATGAGAACTTCTATCAGCAGGCGCGGCGCTTGCACACAATTCTCACCTCTAGGGATTCAATGCAAAACATCCCAATAAATCTAGAAGCTAGACGAAGGATTGCTTTTTTCAGTAACTCACTTTTTATGAATATGCCCCATGCTCCCCAAGTTGAGAAAATGATGGCTTTTAGTGTTCTAACACCTTACTATAATGAAGAAGTGTTATTCAGCAAAGAGCAGCTAAAAACTGAGAATGAAGATGGGATTTCAATCCTGTACTATTTGCAGACTATATATGATGATGAGTGGAAGAATTTTATGGAGAGGATGCATCGGGAGGGGATGTCAAAAGACAGTGATATTTGGAGTGATAAACTTAGAGATTTGAGGCTCTGGGCTTCCTGCAGAGGCCAGACACTATCACGGACAGTTAGAGGAATGATGTACTACTATCGGGCCCTCAAGATGTTGGCTTTTCTGGATTCTGCATCAGAAATGGATATTAGAGAAGGCTCGCATGAACTTGTTTCAATGAGGCGAGATAATTTAGAAAGTTTCAACTCTGTACAGTCACCTTCCTCTAAGAGTTTAAGTAGAGCGAGCAGTTCAGTAAGTTTATTATTCAAAGGCCATGAGAACGGGACTGCTTTAATGAAATTCACATATGTGGTTGCTTGCCAGATATATGGAACTCAGAAGTCAAAAAAGGATCCTCATGCTGATGAAATTCTCTATCTAATGAAAAACAATGAGGCCCTTCGAGTTGCCTACGTTGATGAGAAAACCACTGGAAGAGATGAGATGGAGTATTACTCTGTTCTTGTTAAGTATGATCAACAGATGCAGAAGGAGGTGGAAATTTACCGAGTGAAGTTGCCTGGTCCCTTGAAGCTTGGGGAAGGAAAGCCAGAAAATCAAAACCATGCCATCATCTTCACTCGCGGTGATGCAGTTCAGACTATTGATATGAATCAGGACAACTACTTTGAGGAGACACTTAAAATGCGAAATCTCTTGGAAGAATACAAGCATTACTATGGTATCCGGAAACCCACTATTTTGGGAGTTAGGGAACACATTTTTACTGGTTCTGTTTCCTCTCTTGCATGGTTCATGTCAGCTCAGGAAACAAGTTTTGTCACCTTAGGACAGAGGGTTTTGGCAAATCCTTTGAAAGTTAGAATGCATTATGGTCATCCAGACGTGTTTGACAGGTTTTGGTTCTTAACTCGAGGTGGGATCAGTAAAGCTTCCCGAGTGATCAACATAAGTGAGGATATTTTTGCTGGCTTTAATTGTACTCTCCGTGGAGGTAATGTCACACACCATGAATACATTCAGGTTGGAAAGGGAAGGGATGTTGGGTTGAATCAAGTATCAATGTTTGAAGCAAAGGTTGCCAGTGGAAATGGGGAGCAAATCCTAAGCAGAGATGTGTACAGATTGGGTCATAGGCTGGATTTTTTCCGGATGCTGTCATTCTTCTACACTACTGTTGGGTTCTTCTTCAACACGATGATGGTGGTTCTGACTGTGTATGCATTTTTATGGGGTCGACTATATCTTGCACTTAGTGGTGTTGAGAATGCGATGGAAAGTAACAGCAATAATAATAAAGCACTTGGTACTATATTGAATCAGCAGTTCATCATTCAACTTGGACTTTTCACTGCCCTTCCAATGATTGTAGAGAATTCCCTTGAGCATGGGTTCCTTCAAGCTATCTGGGATTTCTTGACAATGCAGCTCCAGCTCTCATCAGTATTTTACACATTCTCTATGGGTACCCGTAGTCATTTCTTCGGCCGGACTGTACTGCATGGTGGGGCAAAATATCGAGCTACTGGTCGTGGTTTTGTTGTAGAGCACAAGAGTTTTGCTGAAAACTATAGACTCTACGCCCGGAGCCATTTTGTTAAAGCAATTGAATTGGGGCTAATACTTATAATTTATGCAAAATACAGTCCTGTTGCAACTGACACATTTGTTTATATAGCCATGACCATCACTAGTTGGTTCTTAGTTGCATCATGGATTATGACTCCTTTTGTGTTCAATCCTTCTGGCTTTGATTGGTTAAAAACTGTTTATGATTTTGATGACTTTATGAACTGGATTTGGTACAGTGGAAGTGTGTTTGCCAAAGCTGAACAGAGCTGGGAAAGGTGGTGGTATGAAGAGCAGGATCATCTAAAGGTAACTGGCCTTTGGGGAAAGCTTATGGAGATTATCTTAGACCTTCGATTCTTCTTTTTCCAGTATGGAATTGTCTATCAATTAGGAATTGCTGCTGGAAGTACCAGTATTGCTGTTTACTTGTTATCTTGGATTTATTTGTTGGTTGTATCTTTGATTTATGCGGTGGTAGTGTATGCCCGGAACAAATATGCTGCCAAAGAACATATCTATTATCGGCTGGTTCAGTTCCTTGTCATAATTCTTGGAATACTTGTGATAGTTGCTTTGCTGGAATTCACTCAATTCAAATTTGTGGATGTTTTTACAAGCCTCTTGGCATTCATTCCTACTGGCTGGGGCCTGTTATTGATTGCCCAAGTATTCAGGCCATTTTTGCAGTCCACTATCTTTTGGAATGGTGTTGTTTCAGTAGCTCGTCTGTATGATATAATGCTTGGAGTCATTGTCATGGTCCCTGTGGCACTACTATCTTGGTTGCCTGGGTTTCAGAATATGCAAACCCGAATTCTTTTCAATGAAGCATTCAGCAGGGGTCTCCGGATATTCCAAATTGTTACAGGAAAAAAATCTCAAAGTTGACTGTGGCTCAAGGTAACTTCTATTCATATTTTTTAGTGGTTTTTAGTGTTTAAATTTAGTGTTTTTGGCTAGTTGTTATTGTATGCATATGAGTTAATTGGTTGCTGATGGACAAGTTTAACAAGACAATGCTGCTTTTGAGCTAATAAAATAAATATCCTTTCTTTCTGTTTCTCCCTTGTGTGACTGTTATCCTTGATTCTGGGTCTTGAAATTAAGGAAATCATCAGTTATCACAAAGATGTAAACACATACGTGATTAAGCAGGCAATGAATTGCCTCATCACATTTTTTTGTATCATGAACATTCAATTCACTTTTTCTTCTCATGTTAAATGAAGGACAGGCAATGACTCCTACAATTTACATGAGCCCTTATTTGGCACAATTTTATTTGGTGATTTTCTGTTATGTGTTTGGTGTTAGGCTAATCAGTTGCTGTTGATTTTGATTGTTGTCTTTTTATGAACTAGTGTTTGGTAATGATTTTCTTGTGGTTCCGGACATTTTTTTTAATGCCATCATGCTTGAAATAGAATGAATGCATTTCATAAGTTGGGTTATTTTCCTGGCAATTCTGGCTTTGATTTTTACTTTGGTTTAACCGAACATCGGTTCTTTTATATGGAGGGTAAGTTTTGAGGATTGACCTTAAAACTCGAGAGCTAGGTTTCTTTACAATTGGAAAGGAAATGTGGAATTGACATTGGGCAAAAAGGAGTCAATTTTAATATTGTTTGACTTATTATTTTATTTAAAATTCCATAAAAACTTGTTTGCTTAAATATATATTTTAGGGGATTTCAATTTATGATAAAATCAAAGACCTTTAAGGATACTATCTGTTACTTTCCAGTCAGGTTCTAATATGTTTGTATTGGTGTCCTTCTCTCCCGTTTTGGATCTTTCCAGCTGTCTCTTTCATTGTCTATGCACCATTCAATCAGCTCTTCGGTTATGCATCACTCCAGTCATCCGGTCTGTGTTTATTTTTCCAGCAAAGCTCATTTTGTTGTCTCTCTTACTGTGTTTGAGATGTCTCATTTCTCTGTGTTGTATCTTCAGTAGGGTTTGAGTGCCTTTCACTTTATGCTGTTTATGGAGCTAGACTTAAGATATTTGTCTGTGGTAACTTTCTTGTTAATATTATATTTATCCTAAATTTAAGCCGGATTGATCCATATATTGTGATCACTGTCCATATATTGTGATCACTGTGAGTTTGTCTATTTTGTGAAAGTTACAACCAAAGGCTTAAGTTCTAATATGTTGAGTGCTATGGAATTGGTTAATTTTGCTTTTTGTGTTTGAGCTATTAGGGTGTCTTATGAATATGACTCTGCCATAACTTTGTTTCACTTATGTTTTCATGCCCTGAAGTCCCTGAAGTGATGATAGCCTTCGGTACCATGTTTCTAGTGAAGCACCATTTGCTTTAATGAGTATAAATATATGTTCACCAAAAAAGAAAAATATAAATGCTTATTTTATTGTGGAGGAATGGACTATTTTATTGCAAGTTAATGCTTATTTTTCTGTTTTTCTGGGTGCTTTTTGGCTGTGCCTTATAAATAAACTTGTAATACCTGTTTCGCTGATCCTTGGCCAGCATTTTACAATGGCTATGCATGGAGTATTCTATTTCTATGCTTATATTTATGATTTCTCCATTTATCTGCGTCTGACTGTGTTTCTTGTCGATAATTGAGGGTTCTGGTAGTTCTTTTATCTGATTCCTGTTTTACTTCTGGTTCCTTTCATATATCTATCTGTGTATACCTGTAGTAACACTGGCATTCTGTACCGTTTAGTTTTGTCCTCCTTTGAACCTTTCATGTGACTGAGTTAATTAGCAGCTACCTATATTTTGGTATTTATCTTTTTAGCTAATTGTTTTGTATTATTATATTTGCAGGATTGACCTTGCAAAGGTTTGTAGAGAGGCTGTGGAAGACGAGAGGCTAAAATTTGCTTTGTTTCCCAAATTTTCCTCTTGTTATGTGAGGGTTATTGTTGGAGTTAGTGGCTGTGATTATATTTTGTTTCTGATCGAGGAAATGGGAGAATATTATTATTTTTGCTTTCCTTTGATAACCATATTATTGTAATTAGTCAATTCTCACTTTTAAAATTATTTTTGGTCGCTGATCTTGTGGTTATGTGTGCTCTTACATCCTTGGCAGAAAACGGCTTATTGTACCATTATTTAGATTTATTAGCAAAGTTCCATAGTCGGAGATGTGGGCTTGTTTGATTTTATTTTTTTATTTTTTTTATGAAATTCATGGCATAGAAATATTATTATTTTTGCTTTCCTTTGATGGCCATATTATTGTAATTAGTCAATTCTCACTTTTAAAATTAGTTTTGGTCGCTGATCTTGTGATTATGTGTGCTCTTACATCCTTGGTAGAAAACGGCTTGTTGATCGTAGAATGATAGGTAGTACCATTATTTAGATTTATTAGCAAAGCTCCATAGTCGGAGATATGGGCTTGTTTGATTCTTTATTTTTATTTATTTTATGAAACTCATGGTGTAAGTAGAACAAGGCCATATTCATTCGCTAATATCATGCAAGACATCAAGTCCCTTATTATTAGCGTTTCTGTTATAACTTAATGCAGTTAATTAGTCAGTTACATATAAATACTGATGTAACTCATTGTGATAGTTAGTTTTTCATTTTCACAGTTTATACAAAGATTCAATTTCTTCTTTGCTCTCTCTCTTTCTTTCTCTCATCTTCATCATAGAGTCTGATACCTTTCATGGTATCAGAGCTTCTTTTGATCCATGGACGCTTCCGCAACAGCATCTGAACCAATAACAATGTCTCATCCGACTCAGAATACTGCAGAAAATGATAACGTTTCACCTGCACTTCATACCTTTTCGAATCCAGTATCTTTTAAACTGGATGAAGGTAATTTCCTTCCTTGGAAACAACAAGCAATGGCTACAATCAGAGGCTTCAATCTGCAGAGGTTCATCACCAATGAAGCAGATCAATCATCTCAACAAGATCAGTTGTTGATGTCTTGGCTTCTAGCATCCATGTCTGAGTCCTTAAATACAAGGATGGTTGGATGCCAATCTTCTTATCAAGTCTGGACCAAATTGGAGGAGTTCTTTACCTCTCAAACCCGATCCAAGATAAAACAGTTAAAGATTCAGCTAAAGAATATCAAGAAAGACTCTTCAGTCTCAAGTTACTTGCTGCAAATCAAGAAAATTGTTGATTCATTAGCAGCTACAGGAGCTTCGGTCAGTTCAGAAGACCATATAGATGCTATTCTTGATGGCCTCGGTGAGGAGTATGATGTTTTTATCACATCTGTGATTTCAAGATCAGATCCATATACTGTGAGTGAAATAGAGGCACTCTTGATGGCTCAAGAAGAACGCTTAGAGAAGCATAGAAGGAATGAAGCTGGCTTGATGCAAGCCAACCTAGCTCAAGTAAATATCAGAAGGCCTTATGGACCAAATGCTGGTCGTTATCCTCAACAATTCAACAGAGGAGGTCGTTTCAACAACTACAGAGCAAGATATGGTAGAAATGGAGGAAGAACTAATCATCAGCAGCAAAGTGGAAGACCTCAGTGTCAGTTGTGTGGCAAATCGGGTCATACAACATGGGAATGCTACAATAGATTTAATCAAGGCTTTCCCAATCCATTCAATAACAGATCTGATCGTGGTGAATCTTCACATTCACAACTGCAAGCAAACATTGCAGTAGCTGGAAACAACTCGTCTGCTCATCAAGATGATAATACCTCTGAGTTTTACTCAGTTTTTGATCCAACATGGTACCCTGACTCAGGAGCCTCAAATCATTTCACTCCAGATGCATCAAACTTGCTGACAAAGACTGCTTACAAAGGATCAGATACAGTTCAAATAGGTAATGGAGCAGGTATGAAAATTCAGCATGTTGGTCACTCACTTTTACACTCATCCTCCAATTCTTTGTCTTTTGCCTTACCTAATCTTCTTCATGTTCCTGGTCTTTCAAAGAATCTTCTAAGTGTATCTCAATTTGCTAAAGACAATCAGGTTTTCTTTGAGTTTCATGCTAACAACTGTTTTGTGAAGTCTCAGGCTACCAAGGAGATTGTTCTCCAAGGAAAGCTTAAAGATGGCCTTTATGCCTTTGAAGGAACAAGTCCAATAAAGACTTCCAAATCTCTCAAGCACTCAGCTTATCAAGTGCAAACTGAAGTCAATCCCATACATAATGACAGCCATTCTAATTCTGTTTCGAAGTCTGTACTAGAACTATGGCACAATAGATTGGGTCATTCTTCTTTTTCAACTGTAAAATCAGTATTGTCTCATTGTAAGATACCATTCAATAATACAAAACAGTCTGTATGTTGTGCCTGTTGCATGGGGAAAATGCATCAGCTTCCTTTCCCTGTCTCTACTACTGTCTATAATTCTCCACTAGAATTAGTCTATACAGATGTTTGGGGTCCAGCTCCTATAGACAGCACAAATGGCTCCAAATACTATATATGCTTTGTTGATGCCTTCAGCAAATATACATGGATATATCCTATGAAACTTAGATCACAAGTTCAGACAATATTTTCACAATTCAAAACAATGGCTGAACTTCAACTCAACACTAAACTTAAGTGTTTGCAAACTGATAATGCAAAAGAGTATCTTGCACTCAAACCCTTTCTTCAAACTCATGGAGTTGTTCATCGGCTTACTTGCCCTTACATCCATCAGCAAAATGGAACTCCTGAAAGAAAGCATCGCCATATAGTTGAAATGGGTTTATCTATGTTAGCAGCCTCTCACTTACCAAAGAAATATTGGGAGGATGCTTTTGTTTCTGCTACTGTCATAATCAACCTTCTTCCATCCTCTAGTCTCAATAACCAATCTCCATGTAAAGTCTTATTCAATAAAGAACCGGAATACTCATCCCTAAGAACCTTTGGGTGTCAATGTTACCCCTATCTTCGACCATATAACTCCCACATAATGGACTATAGGTATGCTCCATGTACCTTTCTAGGCTACAATCCCTCCTATAAAGGGTACAAGTGTCTTACTCCATCAGGAAAAGTTATCTACTACCGTCATGTCCTCTTTGATGAAAATAAATTTCCTTTCAACCATCCACCTTGTTCAAAAGTATCTATTCCGTCTACTATCAGTCAAAACTCTGTTCCCTTTATACCTACGGTCAATAAAGTACCCACTGTTGTTCCTTTAGTAGCTTCACATGTCCCACAGGCTGAATTCTCTACTTCCTCTATTATTCCTATTATTAATGACACTGCATCACCTGCTGGTAATGTTGTTTCCTATGTTGCACCTGTTACTAATCTTGATTACAGGTCACTATTACCCACTGAGTCCATTACATCTCCTCCTGTTCAAATTACTGCACCTGTTGCATCTACTGCAGAGCCATTGTTGCAACTTGCTGCTTTTGTTCCCTCTCCAGTGATCAATCACATCCAATGACCACTCGAGCAAAGGCAGGAATCTTCAAACCACGTTTGTTTTCTGCCTCCTTGGAACCTACATCTGTTGCTCAAGCAATGTCTGATCCCAAATGGCTTCTTGCAATGCAAGATGAATATAGTGCTCTTATCAGAAACAACACTTGGGATCTTGTCTCTCTTCCTCCTGGTAGGAAACCTATAGGTTGCAAATGGGTCTTCAGGATCAAGTATAACCCGGATGGCTCTATCCTCAAGCATAAAGCAAGACTTGTTGCTAAGGGATTTCATCAACGTGAGGGCCTAGACTACACTGAGACTTTCAGTCCTGTTGTGAAACCAGCCACCATCAGGATCATCCTCACTCTTGCACTTTGTAAAGGCTGGCCTATACATCAACTAGATGTAAATAATGCATTCCTCAATGGTGATCTAGCTGAGGAGGTCTTCATGTCTCAACCACCTGGATTTTTTGTCTCCAATACCTCTCTGGTATGTCGATTGGGCAAAGCTCTTTATGGGCTCAAACAGGCTCCTAGAGCATGGTTTGAAAAACTAACCACCACTTTGATCCATCTTGGTTTTACTGCCACCAAGTGTGATTCTTCCCTATTTGTTTCCATCACATCTTCAGCTACTACTTATGTACTGATCTATGTGGATGACATACTCATCACAGGATCTTCCTCAACTGCTATCTCAACACTTATCAAGTCACTTAATGCAGCTTTTGCTCTTAAAGATCTAGGCAGCCTTCACTACTTTCTTGGCATCGAAGCTAAATCTTCCTCTACTGGTGCCCTTCACTTATCCCAATCCAAATACATAGCTGATCTGTTAAAAAAGGCAGGTATGACCACCTGTAAATCTCTTCCTACTCCTATGGTTTCCAGCTTGAAGCTTTCCTCTAGAGATGGCACTCCTTTTCACGACCCCTCCCTATACAAATCCATAGTTGGTGCCCTCCAATATGCAACTGTAACTCGCCCTGACATTTCGTTTTGTGTCAACAAGGTATGCCAATTTATGCAATCTCCACTTGATACTCATTGGCAGGCTGTCAAGAGAATCCTCAGATACCTCAGTGGCACTAAACACTCGGGATTAACCATTTCTCCTTCCTCACATGTCAATCTTCAAGCCTACTGTGACTCTGACTGGGGTTCTGATGTTGATGACAGACGCTCCACTTCAGGGTCCTGTGTCTTTCTTGGGGGGAATTTAGTCTCATGGTCTTGCAAGAAACAACAAGTGGTAAGCAGGTCAAGCACAGAAGCCGAATATAGAAGTCTAGCTGCAACAGTTGCAGAAATAATGTGGATCAAGTCACTGTTGTCTGAACTCAGAATTGGTTTACCACAGAACCCAAAAAATTATTGTGACAATCTAACTGCTGTTCTACTTACAGCTAATCCTCTCTTTCATTCGCTAATATCATGCAAGAATCAAGGCCATATTAGTTATTTTATTAATCATATTAGTATTTTACTTACTTATAGATCAAGGCCATATTAGTTGCCCATCTAATCAATGTGGGATTATATATCTCAACACGCCCCCTCACGCAAGAGCCTTTTTAGGCTAGAAGCGTGGAATTTGGAAATTGCACAGGCCCATTTTTGGTTTACCTTTTTGTGCTTTTTTTTTATTTTAATTCCACTTTTTAAAGCGGGAGACGGTGAGGCTCTGATACCATGTAAAGAACCTTGGGACATGGCATAGAAATATGTTTCCAACAACAAGCCTACTTGGTTTCATAACATAGGGCATATGGGTTTATTTCTTCTTGACTCTCAATTTTAATTTTTTATGTAAATGCTAGTAACAATGACCCAGTTGGATGAATTGAGAAAAAAACTTGCATTTTTTAAAATCATTGAAGAAAGAGAAAGGGGAGGAGAGAGAAAAAGTGAGAGGTAGTGGGAAAGAGTTTATTTTATATCGTAAATCTCCATCGTAGATGAAATTGTAATCTAACGGTATTGAAAAGAGTAAGCAAAGATAGACAAAATAAGAGTAGGCAGAATAACCTATAGCTCAATAGATAGTGTAGGATAAATGGAAGAAAACAAATTCTCAATCATTTTTATTCAAACTAATGAAACATAATTGTCAAACAGAATCATAAGCTATTCTTAGGCTTCCGGAGTGAGTTTAATTTTAGGAAAAATGTTTATCTTTTTAAATGACACAACTTACATCCTTTCATTCTCACAAAGAGGTGGGACCCGTATCTTTATTTTTTTTTTGTCAACTCTCTCTCCTCCTTTATCTATTTCTTTCTTTCTCTTAAAATGACACAATTTTACATCCTTTAAAATGACACACACTTTACCCTTAGTTTTATGGGATCACACTTGTAATATAGAAAGAGAAAAGAAAAATGACAGAAAGATAAATGGTAAAAGAGAACTATAGGAAAAAGAAAAGAAAATACTGATGTAGTTGGTCTCACCTATGATTTTAAAAACGCTCTCTCTCTCTCTTCAGCAAACGCTAAACCTACCACATCATATAGGTAGATTATGAAACACATCTAAACCTAAAGGAATATTACGTGCATGGTTATAGCAAACCAATCTGCAACCCTGTGGACAAATTCAGTTTCTTTTGTGTGAACAATATAAATAAAAAGGGTAGATTATTTTTACATCTATATAATAATAGAGTCTTATACCTAATTTTTGTTATTAATCTACTTATATCCAATAACTAATAAATTAAAGCCATTATATATGAGTGAGGCCAATGATGAAGATTAAGAGTATAACTTATACAGATATGAGCAATATAAAATGATCATGTTCCTAAATAGAATTAATTGCATATATATTATTGAGGAAGGAAGAATTTATATTAGTGGGAGAATAATTAGTCTCACATCTAATTTTAATTGATTTACTTTCATCCTACAGTTTTAATTTATTAATCATGTGAACTGTTAGACTAATTAAAATTAGCAAATGAAATTAAGAGTATAAGTTACATGGATATAAAATAATCTGCCCGTATATTATTTGTATACTTAAATGCATTGCATAAATAGAAGTGCGTGCGTGCTTGATTACAGAGTAGGAAAAGCCAGTAAACCATATCATTAGGTACAATATAAGATCATGATTTGAGCTTTTTATTTTTTCTAGATCTTAAAAACGACGGTATGGTTCAAGTTTCATTTTAATGTTATGTTTAGATGAATGGACTGGACTGGTTAATAATGGTTTCCAAATAGTGAGAACGACTCCCTTCAAAACTTTGAAATAGTAGTGTGATATTTTTATCATTGGAACTGCCTTATACGAATGGATAAGCCCCGGCCCATAAAACCCCCCAACCAAAATTTCACACCTTTGAAGTGACAAGAGCCCTGCTCGTGTTAGAACTACATATTCCCCAACGTTGTTAAAGCCATGAAATTTAGCATAACTCTGCTTCTCAATCTGGTAGAGAGTCATTGGAAACGGGGCTTATATCTATGACTTTTTTTCCTTTTGCATTTTTAGTTTTGTAGAAGCTACTTTTCACTTGTGAAAAGAAATAGGAATGCTAAAAATTATTGTGCAATTTTTGGTTCTCTCCATATCCTTGTATTGATTAATTCCCTAAAGTTAATTTTCATGCATCAAAATAACTAGAGCCGACAAAATGGGTTTGGCTTGGTAGGCCAACTCGCTTCACCCGTCAAACAGGGCGGGGCAAGGCAGACTCATTTTTTGATGGGTTGATGATGAACATAGACGAGACGAAGCGGGTCAATATAAAATAAGTTCGGGCTGACAGACCAATCTGTCCAGCCCGCCAAACAGGACGGAACGGACTGAGTTTTTTAGCCTAACGTGGTGAACTGACTTGTTTTTTGACAGAGGCCGACCACTTTGCCATCTCTAAAAATAACAATCCGTTTAATGTTTTGCGCGAGATTTAATAAAGTCATTACATATTCTCTAGATTTAATTATAAGTGCATTATATTATCTTAATGCTTTCTGATTTCACTTAGTGAAAATATCGAGACAAAAATCAAGTTAAAAAAAATTAACGTTTCTTAAATTTTTAAAAGAAGTAATTTAAAACAAACTAAAATTTCAAATTGACAATTATTTCTGTACTATCCTAAAATTTCACGCCTTAAAGTAGGCAAATGTAATGGTTAATGATTTGATAATTCTCCAAGTACAGCAAGAATGGAATAATGATATTAGTTATATAACTTCAAAAACTTTTCCTTCACTTCTCAAAAGACTTCCTTGAAGATTTTGTCTATGTTGATTACAAGCTTTAAAAAAAAAAAAAAAAAAGTGTTCATAAAATATGTAATCTATGCTACAACACTATATACCCCATTAACCACCCAACTGTAGCATTGGTAAAGAAAATAGGAGGATATTGTACAAAACCAGCCATGCAACCATCAGCAATCTTAAACCACACCCAATCATGAGCTTTGATTCCATAATTTTTGTTAACAAAATTCTTTGAAACTTGTGTCATGTTGTGTCCATCCCTTGACCTTGGCTAATCTGCATGATTGTTCAATAAATAGTGAATACATTGATGACCTTTCCCATGGGACCATCCCAAAATCATCAATAAACTCCTTCATTCCTCCAACTAAGAATTGCCAAACTAAAGCACCTGCTCCAGACCTGTTTCTCTTGGCAGATTTGTAGGTTATGTCTAAAATTGTTTTATACATCTTTTCTCTATCAGACAATGAAAAGTTCTTGATTGTGGATGATAATCCATACTCAGAGAACAAGACGGGCTTCTTCAATACCATGTCACCATCTTCAATATGAGAAAGCATCCACTTGGAGACAAATTTTATATAGTCTTCAACTTCTTGCTCATGAAACCTATGCAATTTTTTCATTAAAACAATTAAATAAACGGAAAAGTACAAAAGAAAGAAGCTATCTGAAATTAGTTATCATTAGAATATTTGGGATGTGTACTTCTGAATACAAATCAGGAGAAAGATCTTAAAGGGCATAGGTACAAATTTCAAACAAATTATTGCTGGAGATAGTTGATTGCTTAAAGACATACGAGAAACTCAAAGCAGAAAACGTTCCATTCTGCACGTGTAGTTCTTTGGAACATCTAAAGTTAAATTCCTCTTCTTAAGGGCAAAGGCAAACCCCAATGCACAAGGCTCCCCAACTTGCCAGAGTAGGGGTGAGGACCGATTTTATGCAGTCTTACTCTTACCCTTACATTTTTACAACATTTTTACAGAGAGACTGTTTTCCAAACTCGAGCCGGTGACCTTGCGGTCACAAGGAGCAATCTTACCGCTGCTCAAAGGCTCGTCCTCTAAATTCCTGTTCTTAAGGGTCCAAGAAAATCTTTAAACTACAGACATAGCAGTCAAGCAATGCTTACCAATGATCTGGGTAGATATGAACAGAAGTGAAGTCAATATTTGAGATTTTGGAGTTCCTAATAAAATCAGATCCAAGTCTGGATGCCCACAACTCAGGGTTGACGGTCAACCTTTTTGGGTCATTAGGACCATAAAATCCTTCAAGCCCAACAGTCACCAGATGGTTCTTGTCAATCAATTTCACAAAAGCTGACATTTCCTCTATCCAATCCTGCAATTCTATGTCAATTAAGTAAACTGTATACTTAAATATCTACATAGGAAGTAGTAACACCACACATCATTTTCTTTCCCTCCTAAACTAAGCAAAAAAAAAAAAAAAAGGGAATGATGATGACCTGCATTTTTCTCCTCTTTTACTTTTCAATGAATGGAGGTGGAACAGTAAAAGTAAACATCTTGTTACTTTTAAATACTTAAGTTTCCCAACAGGGATTCAAAAAATGCAATATCACAATGAGTATCACAACAATGGATAAAAATTGGAGTAGCCCCTTAATATCAAATTCAGCCAAGCACTTGTTCAAAATTGGGAAAAGCTAAAAGAGCAACAGATCATCTGAGATCATAATAATTTATTAAACAAAGAAATCAAGGAAAGAAAAGAGATATATTTCAACTTTAAAATAGTCATTAACATTGCTAGCAAGCTTTTTCTATAAATATTTGAAGGGGTTAAAGCACAGGTACAGGACTTACTTGGAGAGTATCGCCAGAAGGATCAGTCATGCAGCGAGGTTCATTAATCAATTCCCAACCCAAAATGATGGGGTCATTTCTATATTCAATTCCAGTAATAGTATTCTTCCTTGTTAGAATAGTCTGTAGACAGTTGGAGAGGAAACAATTAATTTATTGAAGACTGCAAACATGCAACTAAAATTGAAATGCCCAGCAAAACAAAAGGCAAAGAGGGATAGCAACTATGGATAATCATTGTTTGGACGCACACGAACAGGAAATAGAAGCGTGATGTATTAAAACAACAGGCATGGGAAAAAAAATCAGTGTTATAAAGGGGAAAATAGCAATAATCCAACACAGAAATTCCATAATTTCATCATGAATTCTCTATTTTAAAATTGAAATTTGATCTTAATGATTAAAAAAGACCACACTCTAAATGGATTTATTGAAAATTTGGTTTTTGATAAAGGCAAGTAGCATTATTTGAGTCATGGTCTAGACTCCAGAGAAGTGTAAATCATTCCATATGTTTCAAATTTAGCATACAAAAGGAAACAGAAAGATACTAAATGGAGCTTCAAAATAAGGTTTGTTTTTTAAAAAAGAGAAAGAAGGTTTTGCACTGGGTAATCTTTTTCTTTGTTTTCAGAAAAGGATAAAAGGATACAACGATGATTCAGCCATGTAGAACATTTAAAGATTTAATGCAATGGTAGAACATTTCTTTGTCAATATGCCAACACCAGGCTCAATTTTCAAATGCATGCTAATATGATTTAATTTTGGAAAACAAAGGATTAGGCCAAGGGCATTCCTCAAATGCCAAACAAGTGTGACCAACAAAGACCTAATATTGCAATCTCCTTGTCTAGCTTCCATACAATTCTTCAAATACAAATCATCCAAAGTTTGGGCTACTAAGTTTAGGCATCATAAGAGACATATTAGTACAAAAGTATTATCACCAGTGTAAAAACATAGACATATCATACCTTGACGTAATACTTGAAATAGCTTCGGATTGAAGGATCAAAGAAGAAAGAATCATTAGATGAGCTTAACCCTACCCCTTCTTGCCATGCCCATTCGACATACTGAGTCTTCCCACCATATGCTGGCAAGTTATTTACTAAGCTAAGGAGCAGCCTAATTCCATGCTTCCTTGCTTCTGCTATAACGTAGTCCAAGGCCTGTTACCAAACCAATCCTCAACATGGTTTTCATTCATCATACAGTAACGCAAAACAGTAAACAACTAACTTACTCTATGGACCAAAGGGATTACCAGTAATGCAACATAAAGCATTTTTCATTTCTACCAGGCATGCTTCAAGGGAAGAACAGACAAATTTCCAAGGTAATCAATCATCATAAACTTCTAAAGGACTATATTACAAAGCATGTTAGAAATTTTCAAAAAGTAAGCACACATAAACCTTTCAATTTTTGCATGTCAATCAGAACCACAAACACCACTTTTGGGAGAATTTCGCATGTGATAGATTGATTAGGGATGGAGTAAGGGTGAAGAGAAATAATACAAGTCCAGCAAACTTCATGTTGAATCATGGGCACAATTGTAGAGGCATACAAACTAGACGATCTTCACTTTATTCTACAAACATTTAGATCACACAGAGAGAGACTTATTCTCCTTTTTTGTTTGTATCCTAAACACATACAATATTATATCACTTTCCAAGAACAAAGGTAAACATGGCCAAAATATTCAGCTCTGCACCGACAAGCATGTCATGGCACATGTCACATTTTACAATTATCATCACCTTAAAAGTTCATTCCACAAATTTAGCATGGTTTGTTCTCAGCCCCCAATGAATCTCAGCAATTGTATGTACAAAGCGTAACTACCCATCATAGATACAAAGTTACAAACTCAGTTTTGGAAGCCTCCAGCCACAAAAACTCAATTTCAGGGAAAAAAAAGAACAAAAAGTGAGTGAGAAGGGATTAAAGTAAATCCAAAGGAAAGAAAACCAAAATAGCCAACGTCCCACTACTAGACACTCATCAAAATCTAATGATGTCAGTATCCAGAATCAAGCATAGAAAAACAAAAAAAATACATTAATACATCAAAACAAAAGAGATGAAATACTAGGAGGAACAACAAACAACAAAAAGCATGAAAATTACAAGCTACAATACCTTGAAAGCTTGTTCATTGAACACACCAGGGGAAGTCTGAAGGGCATTGTAGTCACCATCATTGAATGCCCAAGTTCTACAAACAGTGAGACCCATCTTAGCCCCAGCTTTCAGCATTTCATGAACCCTAGGCCTGGAATAATCATCCACAGATTGAACCATAAACCAGTAAGAGTTCCACCCATTAATGTAGAACGCTTTCCCATCCAACACAAACTGAGTCCCATTTCTCTCCACAAAAGCTAACTCTTGTTCTTCCTCAAAACCGAACCTTATGTCTCCAAAAGACATGTAAATGAAAAACACGAGCGATGCAAAGCCGAAAATGGGATAAAACAAACCATTCCCAGACACCATGCTTCTGTATATCATGTACACGTTTTGCCACAGAAACACCAGATGAAATCAACAGATTTGGGAGATCCAAAGATACCCTTTTGGCTATATATTCAAAGGGTCACCAAATTAGTGCCCCCCAGATGAAGATTGCTGAACTACACCTTAAGGCACAGATGTGAACGTGACTGTTCCTGACCCCCCCAAATGATTAGAATGTATAGATCTCTCCTTTTCCCTTTGAGAAGATTATTAATGGACTCGAAAGGCATTAACTTTACTAAGCTTAGTGCATAAAGACTGCAACTTTGACAGGGTTGTAGATTGCTGTAACAAAGGGATTTATAGAATGAGATGAGCAGTGATACCTATTCATGAAATGGGGGAATGTTCATGCTTCCACCGCAACAAAAAAAGAGAACTGAAAAAGACTCACATGCCTTTTCTTCTTCAGAACAGTCAAAAATTAAAAAGAGATTATTAGGGTTGAGGATAAAATAAAATAAAATAAAAAATGTGGAAGATGGTGAGTGTGTGGTGAAATGTTTGTATCAGAATATTGGGTTGTTTACTTGTTTGGATTTAGATCTAGGAAATGTGAACCTTAATTCTGTATTAATATTTTTTTTATAAGTCAAATGTATTTTTTTTCTGAAAATAATTTTATTCATGATGAATTCAAAATTAAAATTTTAAATCTCTTTCAATAATAATAATAATACTGAAAAGGATAAAATATATACTTTAATTCAATCGGTATTAATATTTTAAGGAACGTATCTTTTAATTTCAATAACTGTGGGCCACCTTGTTTTTTATGAGTTACTTTTACCATGTTCAGCAATTTAAAAAAGACAAAAAAAAAAAAAAAAAAAAAGTCACAGCTCAGTGTTCTTACTTCTTAGGTGTTTACTAGGTACAGATTCTGCATAAAGTGATTTGTTCTGTTGTTAAAATCTTCAGACCAAGCTTGCCCTATTTGCAGATATTGGCATCTTCCACATGGAAGCCACTTCATGCTTAGACAAATTGGACAGTGACCACTTTCTCTATATTTTATTTTGTTAGCCTACTTTAATACCATAACTAGTATGCAATTTGATTTTGATAACAAAAACAGTGGAAATATAATTTATCGGATCTATGTAGTTTTATAATTAAATAATTATTTTATATTCTGGCATGACAAGTAATTTGTCCTTTAGCATGCAGGTCAGCACGTCTGAATCATGGTTACCTTTTGTATTCCAAATGATAATTACCATGAAATTTGCTCCAATTATAGTTACCAATGAATGATAGTTAACATGAGATTTAATATTATTTATCGATTAGTCAAATAATTCAATTCGAGCAAATAACATCACATTGGTTATTTTGGTAGCCACAAGCATAGCCACTTGGTAGCCAATTGGTACATTGGTATTAGAGTCTCCATAGGTTAGACTAGGCTAAGCTTTGACTCAAATAGATTAGGTTTGTGTAAAAAATATTGGATTTGGCTTGATTTATTAGCCTGTGTAGGCTCCAAATTCCAAATCTGGTCTGACCTATATTTAAAAAATAAAAGTCTTGATCTAAGTCTTTTAGCTTGTTTAAGCCTATTAGAGATTCAATAATTAAAAGAATAATTAAAATAATATTATTTTATTATTCAAAATTATTAAAATAATAATTTTATTTATTTTATTTAAAATCAATAATATAATATAAGTCAGCCTGTAAATTTATAGGTTCGATATGTACAAAAAAATCTATGGCCTGTTTTCTAAATAAGTTTTTTTAAAAGTCTAAGCTTGTTCTATTTTACTGTTTGTAATAGATCAAGTTTGACTTAATATAGACTAGGTCGTAGGCCCCTGTAGGTCGACCTAATCTATTTACATCCCTAATTGACACCAATTGATTTTCAAAAATAATATAAACTTTTAAACAAAATTATGGTACATACTTGACACTGACTAAATTTTTTTTCTAGTTCGTCACTGTATATATTAAAACCTCAATTTTAATTGTGCTTAGCTGGTACATGTAATATGTCTGTCATCTAAATGTTAATATGTGACTGACGGAAAATTGCAGGCTATTTGTATGACAATCTTCCACACCATAAGATTTTTAATACGTTTATTTTAAGAATAAAGTATTATCAATTTATCAGTTCGGATTTCATAACATTTTTTATTTTCTATTACACAACAATCTCAATCAATTGTACTTGCAGAAACCCAGTTGTTAATCAACTACAATCCCAACCAAACAAATCGCCAAATCCGATGGTCCCACATCACTATATTCACTCACTTGAAATTCATTCCTTCAACACTAGCAACCAAAGAAAGAAAAAATAAATTATCTAATGCCTGGTATAGAATGACTATTATCAATATTCATTTTAATACTCTATAATTATGATTAAATTCTAATAATTAACCAAAAACCCCAAATTAGTTTGCTCCTTATCTAATGGTTTGTTCACTCTCATCCCATTAGGCATTAGTGCACAGCAAGTTAGTGATTTTGGGATAAATTTTCAATACTCTTATAATAATAAAAATACATGACTCAACTAACTGCATTTATTTTATCTATTTCTTTATTTTTAATATGGGAAATATAAGAATTATGTTGCAGGAATGACACTGTTCATTCCTGCAACAAGGATCCGGCAACGTATCTTGAGGATACGACGTCGTATCCTGATTTTGATTTGACTTTTTTTTTTAAGCGTGGGACCCACACTTGATTTATGTGTGCAGGAAAATGGTCTTGTCATGTGACATGACAAAAATCGAACCTTTTTAATATTATATAAGTCCTAGTTGTTTTTAATTTTGAAAAGTGAGTATATATTCCAAGAGTAGTGAAAATTTACTCGTGACTTGGGCACTCATGATGACGATGTATCCTAACCAATAAAAAGGACAGCACAAGCAAAAATGGAAGTTACATGAAGCATTTCTTGATAAGGTCAGAAGCTTCTTATGTGGGAAGCCAGGAATTGTTCTCAGTATCTGTCGTTTATTTAGGTGCATTTTATTGTCTGTGCGATGAGACTGAGCTTTAAATATTGAAAGCAGGGCCAATCCAAGAGTAAGAACAAAATGCATCACTCTTGCATCACAAACATATGTACATGATTATCCATAACCAAACATTATGCTAGATGCATTTGGTTAAAGTCTTTTTCATGCAGAAAGGCCAAGAGAATGAGAAATCATTTTGCATTGACCAAAAGAAGAATGATCCATCTTTTCTCATAAGATGTATTAAAAAAAAAAAGGAAAATAGTTCATCTTTTTCTAATCATTTGTATAATTACGCTAAAAAGTTAATCATAAAACTTAGAGTCAACGTTCAGTTCACAGTGATATGAATATGCAACTATTCTGCATTATTATATTTACATTAACCAGTGTACAAAAGTTTATATGATGATTAGCTTTAAGCATTGAGATATGTATTCCTACATAATTATATTATGTTTTGATTATTGTTTTTGTAAGAAGCTACCTTACGACTTTTGTCTTGGCTGTGGTCCATGCATTATAAAAAATGGAATTAATGGCTTGCGGAAGAAAGGGGATTTTTTTTTTTAAATACCACGGGTGTACTCAACTCAATACACTAAAATTTTCCAAAATTAGCAAAAATATATATAATTTCAATCTAGATCTTTCTTAAGTATTTTCTTCTAATTAAGTCCTAAAAGTTTTTTAATTTGGGAAGAGGTGTAATGATACTGAAAGTTCTCCCAAAGAAAAGATGCTTGCACTGTTTCATGCTTACTATTTTATTTATTTATTTACGAATTTAAATATATCAATGAATAAATTATTAAAATATATAAAATTATTAATATAATCTCATTTATAAGTTTAAGCTTTTGAGAATATCATAGCCTCAATGTCCTGGGTTCGATCGTTGTCGCCCTCTATTTTTTTTTTTTTGTGAAATTTTTTAGCAGAAGTAGATTGGACCTAATACATCGTCCACCTTTCAAATTTAATAAACTCTCTTATAAAAAAACATATTAGAGATATATAAAATTATTAATATAATTTTACCAATAAATTTAAACTTTTGAATTGAATTCTTTGTTCACAAAAACAATAAAAACCAACCAGGGAATGACAAGTGGATACTTGAAATTGATCATAATAAGTCTCACTGTGTGATCGGTACGGACAAAGATGCCCTGCAGATATTCCTAACCGACACCAAAATTTCTTTTATTATTTATTATTAATACAAAGCTATATATGTTTGCTCTTAATCCATTAATAATTGAGATGACAATAAAATTTAATATGGCAAATAATTGTTAGGTATATGTTGCGACCTATATCAAGGAATTATGGGCAACTAAAATTTGACTATGACAAAAGGAAAATTAAATTTAAGAGGTTTTTCTTTCAAGAAGAATTATTTTCATTTTCCAAATAATAACAAAAAAAAAAATCCCAATCAAAATTGAGTGCTGAAAGTATACTTTGCATATATTATGTTGGAGGTTACGGGGTTGAGAGAAAATGGTTCAGAGGTGCTTAAAGTATTACACCAAGAGACATCAAGTTTGGAATGCTCAACAGTGTTACCTCCAGCTTAGGAAACCCTAGATATAATACAAGCTATTGGGCTCCAGCCCATATGGACCCAAATAACCATGCTTTCACCTATTGGACTTATATGTGAATATACTATTATTGATTATACTATTAATATAGACCACAAATAACGTCATTTAAAATTGGATGATATTTATTTTTTCTTTTTCTTTTTTTGCCATTATTATGTAGGTCAATGGCAGCAGGCAGCAGCTTTAACTAATTTACAAGGATGTATTATTAACTTACAACTTGTCTGCCATAACGTAAGGAGCAAAAAATTTAGATTTTGAAAAGGTGTACGTTAGTATTAGTGTTGCGATTGAATTCAGTTAAATATTAACTTCACATTTTACTGATTGGATTTGTTTTAATGGATGATTAAAAAACATGAAAGCATATTGATCAGTCCAATGGATATATACTACTATACTAGGTTAGACCACACACAGTTAAGTTTGGTTCAATAGTAATCTGAGTCTTTTCTTGAATGGATGTTTTTGAGAGATGCAAGATATTTGCACGAGATGGAGAATCTAATGCTGGGACAAATATGGACTATCTGCAAGGTAATCCAACGTTTATTAAATCAATATTTCATTAATAAATTTTTGTAAAGATGGGTAAAATGGCCCCATACTTAGGCTTCAAAGCCTTTGTTATACTAGTTGGTTGTTTTACTTATGTCGCCATATCATGGCGTCATTTAACTCCGTTGGTGGGCTGAAATGACTTCTGCAATCTCTTGTGTGAGATGCCTATTTATGGGCTAAGTCTTCTAAGTATAATTGGAATATTTATCCCTTAGCTATTGGTTATTAGAATAGTTGTAGAGTTCTGAGATACTGTTACCATAGTTGTACACCTGCGGGATGACATTCATGCAGGATGGACGCGTTTCCTTAGTCATTAAGTCTGCTAGACCTGTTGAACCATTTATGGATTGAGCCTTATATCTCGTGCAAGATGGGTCTAGATCATATATAATATATATAAAAGTTAACAGGGGACAAGTTATCTTATCCCTAATTTAATAGGTATATCATTAAGTTAATACCATTAAAAGAATCAGCAGCAACAGCTTAATTTTAGTTTGGGTTATATTTATCTATTTTTACATAAGATAATTAAATTTCCTACACACACAAAAGCTAGGTGGGTCCCATTTTTTTTTTTTTTCTCTCCTCTTATCTATGGGTCCCACTTGCAATCTTGTTTCTACAACATAAGATAAGTATTTACCTACAACATAAGAAAATTATTTCCCTTTTAGTTTTTACTTTCATTTTCTTAGAAGAAGTTGATTACCTTCTGTAAATGACTCACTAGTCTTTGTTGTTGTTTTTTTTCTTCTCTTTTTTCTTCTTTGAATTTTTGGTGAAAATAATGAGCTTAACAGTCATCTTCACAGGATATGACATGTCTTGACCATAGTGTGAGCTCTTCCATTTCAGTCAAGGGTGCACTTGATGGCCTTCTCTTTCACTTGTTCTGCAACCCAAATGTCTTGAATACACACCACATGACAATAACAGTACAGCCATTGCTCTTTTCTTTTGGTAGCTGTCCATTGTATATCCAGCTTCTTCAGCACGTTGGTTTGGTCTATGAGCATTCATGTTTGACCATTGTGTTGCGGGTCTTTAGGGCAATATCTAAATAAACTTAAAAAAAAAACTCCTAGTTCTATGACCATAGGAAATTCATGAACAGGAGAAATCACTTTAGTAAATCTAACGACCCCAAGCAACCAAAAACCAAAAGTCCAGACTTTATTACGGGTAATATTACTCTCATGTAACATGAGAGTAGTTCTCTCATGTTACAAAGAGAATCCAAGTAGGGTCCGCTATTTAAAAAAAAAAAAAAGGCACAATTTTTGAAGTAAGAGAAAAGGAGATAACTACCTCATGTAAAATGAGAGTAGTATTTTCCCTTTATTATATGGAGCAAAATGACCAATGTTTATCGAAAAAATATTTATAACATGACATGAGATAAAATTATCTTGTACAATCTCAAAATAATGTTAAAATTTTATTTTTTATCCTAAATCCCAAAACAATATTAATTTGAGATTGTATGAGATAATTTTATCTTTTCTGGCCAGAGAAACGTTAATCCCAATTGTTTATTAATTATTATTAATGTACCTTTATTTTACAGACTTCCATTAGGCTTATTACAGACTTCCATGAGGCTTATTTTCCTTAACTCAAATCAAACATATAGTTTATTATCAGTGGACCGCAAAAGAAAATTGCAGAGAAAAAAAAAGGGGTGTTTTAAAAAATTTGCATGTGGGACACCGACATGTTTCGACACGAGTTCGATATGTGATTAATTCTCTGACACGTTCTGACACTTTTTCTGACATGCAGTTAACTTTTTCCGACACGCGGTCAACGCTTCGACACGTGTTTTTTTTTTTTTAGTCTTAATTTTATTTTATTAACTAAATATAAAAAAAATATTTTATAAATCAATTTTTTTCTGTTATAAAATTTGGCATGAAAAAATAACAAAGTACGAAAATTTATTTTTGTTTATATTTATGTTATGAAATTTGAATAATTAATTGATTATATGACTTATTATGGACTGTTATATGTATTAAATATAAATTATATTATATATATTAAAAAATTTATTTAATATCAAAACATGTCTCAACGTGTCGAAATATAACATTTTTTTAGAATTAACGTGTCGTGTCCCGTGTCAGTGTATTATAGCATAATCCTATTTGGAACGGATCCAAAATTAAACTTTAAATCGCTCCTGAAGCTTGCTTCTTTTTATATGATTGATTCTGTGCAATAAATTATATTCTTTTACTTGACTTTTGGTTGTTTGAGTAATTCCATTCTTAAGTAAAATCCAAACATTTTATTTTCTTACTTATGAACCTATATAACATATTTATTTATGTCAACTTTTATTTAGTACAAATTCATATACAATCTACAAATTATAAAATCGTTGAAAGGAACACTTCGATAAGATTATCAAATAGATCTTCGTTGGTTTGTGTTACTTGTTTGCAGAAAAAGCCGCAAGAAAAGGAAATATGCAATCTGTTGGGCGTTTGCAAGAAGACATTCAATTTCAAATTCAGATATTATTATGTATTCTTATTTCACCTTCACATGAAATCTTCAAAGTTCCCCACTTTTTATTTACGGGGCCTCACTCCTTAGACTAAGTTATGAACCAAAAAACAAACAAGTTCACCTTTTTTCCCAAATAAGATTTGGATTCCATATGGGCCAATAGAGCAAGGAAGAAAACTGGGGGCACTTAAAGTGATGAGATGGGAGGTCTTTCTTAATAAGTTTTGCCACTATTGGAAGAAAAGAATCTGGTGGAAGATATCTTTCAGAACAACTTCATTGACCCTAATGCCCAGTGAGATGAACACTGTCAGACCATAGAATAGGAATTACTCAGATATTTAAACAACAATCACATCACAAGTTAACAACCATATACTCTCCCACTTTTTTTACCTACATCAATAGCTCATTAGCTCGCACCTCTTTTGTCAGGAATACACAGAATCCTCTCTATAAGAAACATAGCCACTAGTATTCTGATAGTTTGTTGTTTGTTATCATTAACTAATTTGGCACAATGATTAATTCGATTTTCTAAGGTATGTTTGAACCAACAATTGACTTCCAATGAGTTTTTTTTTGAATAATATTTATACTTTACTACAGACTATATGATATATCTGTTGGTTAGGCATGAAAGGAACATTCCTAGTCTTCTCAATTAGGTTTAGCTAATTTGAAAGGTCAAGAGACTTCAAACAGGTTATTTGAAAGGTCTAAACATATTCTCAATATGGTCTAATCTTCCTCGCTCAGCTGCCTAATTTGACTTAAATCCTCATATGAAATATTCCCTTTTTTGGGGTTCTTAGTTTCAAATTTAGAAACTTCAAAAGGACAACTTCTGAAGCACATATCTATATAGAAATATAATTAATCTTGAATCAGCAAAACAAACAAGCTTGTAAGCAGTAAAATTAATGAATCAGCAAGAGCATACACTATGATTTACCCTGATGATTAAGCAGTTTAGCATCTACAAACAGCTCAGTAAGTAACACTTGCAAGTTTCAACTATGTAATCTAATTCATATTCTATGCCCAAAAAAGAGATTAAGATTAAGACACTTTACCAAAATCACACCCACCAGCATGATTTGCAAACCCCATCTAACAACAACATCCCAAAATCCCCCCACAAAAACCACTCTCCACCAAACTAAACCCATCACCACCCAAATCATTCAACAACATCTTGGCCGTTCCTTCTAACCAAAGCAAAATACCCCAAAACAGCACAAAGGGCAGCCACAACATTCCCTTCCTTCAACAAAATCTTAATCACAAAACCGAAAATTTCCCTTGTGATCTTCCTCCCCTCCACAACCAAAGCCTTCTTAGGCTTACCAAAGAAAGCCAATAACACAACGATGGTGATCCATGTCACCAGAACCGCAGGAACCATCACAACCAAAGCTGCAACCATGGAAAGAAGCCCAAAAACCGTGCCAAGAAGCACCGAGACATAAATTGCAGGCCAACCAGAGGTTGATGACTGAGCTTGCAAATTGTACCAAGAAAGCATGGATTTGAGGAAATTCCATGAAGAAGCCAAAAGGGTACCGTAAACAAGTAAAAAAAGACATACCCATGTTCTCCTTTTGCTCATGATGTTTAGCATTAAGATGTAAGATGAAGGTGGGTGCATCGGTGAAGTGGGTTCATCATCTTCTCTTGCCATTGACAACCTCAAACTCAGAACAGAAAAGCCACACCACTCTGCTTTTTATTGTTTTGCGCGCTTTGGTTCTTTTTCTTTCCTATGAAACAAACAATCTGAGCTGAGGATCATGTCCCTCACTCTCTCCGGTTACACCATAAGAATTAAAATGTGTACGGTAACTCACGCTATTTCTAGCACGTGGTTTCCACTTCTCCTTAGTATGTGGCACGTGATGATTTGATAGAAGGTGATTCGAATTTGTGTATCACGCGCGTTGGATAAACGTGCGTCAGATTTGTTGATTCTTTTTATTTTATTTTATTTTTGCGGTAAACAGATTTGTTGAATCATAAATATTATCATTAACTAGAGTAAAGTTATCGACAGGCATTGAAATACAAGGAACTACTCTGTTATGGATAATTATGATATTAAAGTTTTATATATCCCAAATTTTGTGATAATTTTCCTTTATAAATATTCGTAAGTTTTAATAATATTAATTCACTGAGTCCACGTTGATCCCAACCTTTGATTTTTATATGTAAAAAACGATATTGATCCGGATATAATATAGGTCTAACCAGGATCCAATAAACACATGAAAGCCCAATGCCATATAGGACCCAGAAAAAAGGCATAAAGGGTAGGCACAGACGCGATAACCCTGTCGCGGTACACCAGCGTGATAACCCTATCGCGGCACATCAGCACGATGACCCTATCGCGTCCTACATGGCGCAATACCTCCTCATGACATGCAGGATGTACTTGTTCCCCACGCAACAGGATACCTGTAAACTACGGACAGCTCCAGCTCGCTATGACTCTACTACTAGACACTATGGCGGCAAGCTCATCAACATTTAAACACTGACAGTCACACTACGTTGGTACCAAGGAACCTTTGCCTTCACCATGAAGAAAGGCATCCTACAAGCATACATCTCGACTACTATATAAACATACGTTGTACCACCAAGGTACGATCATCCTTTACTTTCACAATATAAACACCTACCTCTGATACTGACTTAAGCATCAGAGTGTCTTCGCAGGTACCCCTCATCTGGAGCAACGTGAATGACGAAGGACAAAGAGCTCAGGCTCATCCCCCAACAGCAATACTAGGCCCAGGCCAGTAACCTCCCAAGGAGTCTCAACCGTGTGTGATTTGGGCTTAATACGCATTGGGCCATCCCAACCGTATCTGGTCCGATCATTTGTGTCGTCTGTGGGAACCAGTTAACAGGAAACCTCTCACGGTTCCTATCAACTTACAGGGTTCTCTCACGAATCCTCCAATTAACAGGAAACCTCTCACGGTTCCTATCAACTTACAGGGTTCTCTCACGAATCCTCCAATTAACAGGAAACCTCTCACGGTTCCATAAACTTACAGGATTCTCTCACGAATCCTCCAATTTACAGGAAACCTCTCACAGTTCCTATCAACTTACAGGATTCTCTCACGAATCCTCCAATATACAGGACATCTCTCATGGTTCCTATCAACTTACAGGGTTCTTTCACGAATCCTCCAATATACAGGACACCTCTCACGGTTCCCATCAACTTACAAGGTTCTCTCACGAACCCTCCAATATACAGGACACCTCTCATGGTTCCTATCAACTTATAAGATTCTCTCACGAATCCTCCAATCAACAGACTTGTCAACGAAGATCTCCCTAACAGAGCAAAAGCATACAGATCGCGATCCCCAAGGATATATCGTGATCTTTCACGCTCAAACGCGATGGCATAAACAAACAAAGGTATGCAAAATATTTTACAAATTTCACCTATAAACTGTCTAGACATACAACATACAGGTATAGTGTTCAAGCACCATACGGTGTACACACCACATCCCCAAAATACAAAGCATACAATTGCAACGCTATGCAGACATGGTGTTTAAGCGCCATACGACATACACACCATGGCGTGGTCTCATTCACTTTACAGGATTCTATACTTAAAGGAGTCCTTTATAACTAAGCACGACATGCATATGATCGCGGTGCGACATACAAAACACCTCAGCTGGGTTACAAACCCATCTGCATTATAACTATCACCCAGTATACAAAGAATGTGAAGAGCAATATAAAGAACGATGAGAAGGGTAATACCCTACTACAAGGAATGCAACTTTCACACGGTTATCAATAGTCTACAGTGAGAGAGCAATGCAAACATTCATTCAGCAACATACATATATTCGGCAAAACAAACCCGAATGTTATAAACTTCAAAATTTGCGGGATCAGTACTACTTCCGCGCATCACTGTTATGGGGACATCCCCCTTACAAATTGGCAAATATTAAAGCAAGTCAAGAAGTAAAAAGAAGAAGAAATTTAAATAAAGATATCAGAAGATCAGCAGCAAATTTAGACAGTCTGAATCGCTATATCCTGAGGAGTGTCAGCTTCAACAGCGCGCTCATCATTAACAACAGAAGGATCTTGAGGCAATGGCACTTGCAAGGATGGTGCGGTCGTGTCTGTATCCATCGCGCTAATCAGCTCCGCTGGGACCTCTTGATTTTGCTCATTTAGAGTCACCAGTTGGCCATCCTTGAAGTAAAGGTAGAAGTGGACATTCTCCAGTTTGGCTGAGGGGTTGAAGAAACGCACTTGTGCGATCACGTTCACAAAGGTAGCTTCTGCTTCCTTCTCGAACAAACCCTGATACCTCTTCACCTCAGCGGTCAAGTGGGCCTTTTCATCAGCCCAGGTATCAGCGTTCCCTTCAAGTTCCAGTATGCGCTTCTCTAGATCAATTTTCTTCGCCCCCAAGCTTCGGTTGGCAGTCGTCAGCTTCTTCATGTCAGCATCCTTCTTCTCCATTTCTGCCGTCAGCATGGCAACCTTGTCCTCAGATGTCTTCAACTTGGCATCAGAAGCAGCGCGCTGTTGGGCATTCTCAGCCTTCAACTCTTCAATACGTTCCTTCAGGAAATCTACCGAATCTGTCATATACACAAAACACAAAAAGGTTATACATACAGCCGTGATATTATAGTATGCAAGCAAGCAAGTAACATGGAAAACCAAATATACTTACCAGGTGTGGTCATGATAAATTGGCCAGCCGCGATCAGACCCTGGGCAAGCTTCCGCCATTGATCTCGCGGTAGAGCTTTCAGGTGCAAGCCAAAATCCCTACCCTGAGCCCGCAGGTCACTCACGACTCTCTAGTCGAAATCCGGCCACCCCTGCAGCTGACCCCCTCGGACATCGCGTCAAAGGTTCTTATCTTCCCTCTCACAATGTCCTCTCTCATTACTACTGAAGGGGTAACCTCTTGAGGAGGGGAAGGAGGGGTACGCAGTCTCAAGGGAGACTTCAACTGCACGACGGCTTGACCACTTGACTGAGCAACAACAGCCGCAGTCTTGATCGGTTGTGCAGAGGATGAGGAGCTAGCAAGAGCTGCGCGATTGGCAGGGATTTGCTCCATTTTGCTCACGGGCGTCATCCTTATACTTTCTGCACAATAGAAACAAAGAAATGGATGGTCAGGCATACTTAGTCAATACATACAGGTTACGCTACACAAATATTAAGACATATCAGAACACGAAGGATTCAAATTACCCAGATAAGCTTGAACATCAGTTTCAATATACTCGTTCAAAATGGTATACGTATCCAGAGAGCCTTCACCGGCAGCTTCACGAGTGATCTTACTTAAAGCGGTCAATGTCTGCTGTTCTAGATCACTCAGATCCGTAAAGTTATAGCTTAACACGGAACTCTCTAACGGGTATTCCGACCAGTACAAAGGGAAGATAGGAGCCTGGTCCTCGCCTAGGAAAAACGACGTAGTACCTTTGGCGGGATAGATCTTGAAATACTCAGCGTTCCATTAGTTCATCTTCCTGCAGTATGACCTGCAGAATTTTTGTTTACCCCTAAAAGATATCCAGCTATTGCGAGGGGGCATCACACTGAACATATACAAAAAGGACGGAACTGACTGGAAAAGGCCATAGGCCTTGTATACCATCTCATATACTCTAATAAAACCCCAAGCATTAGGGGTCAGCTACGAGGGGCCACATTCAAATGCGCTAACAGTTTACAAACAAAAGAAGAAAACGGAAGACGGACACCTATGGACAAGAAAAAATAAGAGTACATCATCATATAATGCCTGGTTGACGCCACGTCCCGCGATGAGAAAACACGCTCATTCTTCGGGACGACTCCAACCTCCCATTGATCGTCAAAAGCTTTATCTGGGGTCAGATGCAAGGCCATGGTTACCTCCGCCAACTCTCCAGGAGAACAATATATCGACTCAATCTTCAAAACTGAGTCGGACACCCACCCCAGGGTATCAACATCCCGGATGCTTTGCCTGTTCAGGGACCGCGTCTCTGAAGGTTCTTCCTCAGGATTAATTTGTATGGCTTTCTTCTTCCCACCAGACTGCGTTGAGACGATCTTCTTATCGCGGGCATTACGTTTCGCCATTATCTCCTTGATACGAGAGGACACAAAATCTGATTAAGAAGAAGAGAAATTAGTGGAAGAAGACAAATCAGTGGAAACAGGTTTATAATTATCAAATTTCCTTTTCTTAAAAGGATATCCAGCTGGATAAACCACATTCAACGACAAAGGACTAGGACTCTTCGGTCTTGAAGACTCATGCGCGATGGAGCAAGAAGAATCGCGCGATGAACTCGAGAAAGGCGATTTGGGGCTTTTTGACTCTACCGATTTATAGCTATTATCTGAATTGGAAGAAGAATCACTCGATAGCACAATGGGCTTGGACATATTTCCAGGAAATCGGGGAAACACAGACGAACTATGGGCTGACAATGCCTTCTCGCAAGGAGGTTGTCGCAAGGTTGACCCTAACTCAAGGGTACGACTTAAGGGAACATGCCCAGCACAGGCTTTGGAACAGGGAGCTAGAATTCCTACAGTAGGCCTTGTCTCCCTGGTTCCCAAGGACTTTGATCTTGGTAACAGTCCCGACGGCGGACTAGAGGAGCCAGACCAGTCAATAAATCTGATAAAATCCGCACAATTATACTTCTGCGGCATACCCCAGAAAGGCAGACGCAAAATGTTGAACTAAATCACAGAAATGCAGAAGAAACAGAGGATAAGAAGCAAACA